ATACGTATATGAGACTTTACGAGGTTCTCCTCTGCTGCTGGCAGGAGATAATTAAGAATTTAATTATTTACACATCCCAACCCCCATTCAGACACATACAAATACAGCACTGTTTGTTAACTAAGACACACACACACACACAGATACGAGCACATATTAATACTTATGCAAACTGAAGGCTTTCCGCTTGATTTGATGGCAGAGACAGGAAATGAGTAGGGGGTTGGGCATTCAATATTCATAATTCTTTATGAAAGCTCCGCCCATGGGGAGGTAGGGTTTGTACTTCTTCTGGGCGCTTCGCATAGTGGGGTTGGGGGTGCAGTTTTCAGTCGCTTTGCACTGCACTTTTCATTGTGTTCGGCAATGTTTGCCCCGGGGCTCACGTTTTATTTGTTTGCTTATTTGCCCGTGTCAACGTCTCCTAATTGAGGGTGTTGGTTCGAACCAGTCACCCGTCCGCAGTCCACTCTCCAGTGCCATTCATTGTGTGCTTTATACGCATTGCCATTTAATTATGTACACATTTACTTTATCCCACACCCCGCCCCAATGCCATGTCCTCTTTGAGTGTTGTGCTCACATACAGTGAAGTGATTCAGTGATCACAGTTTTTGTGCTGAATTTTCCATCGCATCATCGAATGTGCAACAGCCCCCTGGACAATGCCGCCTTTCACTTTCGCTTGTTGGCAAACAAAAAATAAATATGTACAGACAAGAAACAACAAAAATGTTGGCTAATTACCTGGGCCTGTCAACAAGTTGTTTGACAAATGGGCAAACAATATGGACAGAAATGTTGATTTAATAGCTGTCAAAGCATTTCGCTTAATTCCAACTAATTTCCACCCCAAAACTAGGCAACAGAAAGGGAATAACTAAGGAATTCCAACTACAATTACAATGGGAAATGCGAATTTTCTTAATCTGATCCTGGCCGTCTGTCTATATGAACATCTGGTGCTGTTTTCACATCCCCAAACTTGATTCGTTGGCAATCTGGCAGCCGAAAATTGGAATATTGTAGCATCTTAAGGAATCAAATAAGTATTTCTACCCCTTAATGGAATACTACTCTAGTAGTATTCTTTATCCTAATACATTAAATTAACGGTTTGCCTAGAAGAATTTTAATAGTAAATTGTAAGAATTGTAAGAATGTCAAGTAAGTCCTTTTCCAGAGCTTCTTTACTAACTATATGCCATATCCTAGCTGAACATTTGGCATCATAATATCATTTCCAACTGAAAGATTTTCCTCATCTGCCGCTGACAGCAAATGTTTGTCAAATTAAAAACACAAACCTGTGTTGCGACTCCGTTCCCCGTACGGAGGCGTGAAGAATCAACAGCAAAAAACGCGGCACGCATCAACTGGCGACATCGACAAGAAGGACGACAGCGTCGACGCCGACTGGCAGCATCACGTGGCAACAACAATGCCATAAATAACAAAGGCGAATGTTGCAACACTCTGCTCATGGGGGAAGCCGCTGCCAGGCCAGGCGACAGGTGCAGACGTGCGGGGGTTGGGTTGGCTTTTGGTTAAGGGGGACTGGTTGAATGTGCCGTTAGAAGCGCAGCAACAGTCGCAGGCTCCCCAGTCTCAGTCCCAGCACGAGAACCAATGACAAACAATCGTAGTCAAATACGGGGGAGTCAAAGGAGCGGAGCGGTACAGGGTACAGGGTGTGTGCCACCAGGGCGAAGGCAGGAAAATATTTACAATCAAGTCGATTAACAAAAGGAAACCTTGTGACGCGCACTTTGAGCTTTTTTTTTTCTGCATTTTTTTTCCGCCTTTCTTCTTTCTCGCTCTCTCCCGCTGTTTGGTTTCTCCGGCGCTTCTTCTTGTTATTTTTCTTTTTTTTCCCATTTTTAATTAAAAATCAGTAAGCTCACGTAGTCTCTCCCCTCTCTGCGTAGCCCCTTCAACGGCCGACTGTCATCAGCGCCTTTTGGCAAATCAACGTAATCATTGCATTGCGTCTCCACCGAGCCACCGAGCCACCCACCATCTCTCACTTCTCTCTCCGCTGTTGCTATTGTCTTTTCCTTTCATACAAAAATATTTTTCATAAATATTACGAAGCCTCCACGCCGCATCCCCTCAGCGGGGCAACACTTCAGACTTTTTGCCACATTTCCCCGCTAGCTACAACAATTCATAAGCAGCAGGAGCAACAGCAGGCAGATGAGGAGTGACAGCAGGAGCGGCGGGGACGTCATCATTAGGGAAACATTTGCCGCCTACACAGCTCCTGTTCGAGTGTGTGTGGGTGAATCGTGGCATCTCCTGCTGCTTTCTCCCTGGTTGCTTGCCCCTCCACCAGCTGCCTGCTCGGTGCTTATTGTCTTACGAGGAACTCGGCAGGAGGATTGGCGGAGGAACTGCCACTGAGATTGGCAAGCGGATTGGTGGTACGCATCTCATTTCTCGTTTATTTTTTTCATATAAATGCTCCCTGTTGTTTGCTGCTCGGGCGGATGTAATGAAAGAATTGCATCAAGGGGCTTACAGTGGTTGAAGTTATGAAATTTTAGATATTTACAAGAAGGTATCTGCAAGGCTACCTAAAAGACGGACGCAAGTATAAGAAGTGCATGAAGTGATGATAGTGAGAGTTACACAAAAGAATCTTTCTATATATCTCTCTACCTTTTATCGCCATGATTTTCGTAGCGCTCCACTGTACCTTCACCGTTGAGCGCGCAATTGCAGCTTTACTCTTTCCATGTTCTGTGGGCATCCGTCCGCCCCATTCGAGTGCTTACGAGTGCCGCCTCCTCCTTTCTCTTTCTCATTCCCTTTCCCTTCGCACACTCGCATTATTACGTGTAAGACTGTGTGTGTGTGTGTCTTTGTATTTTCCTATATATATTTCGCAATTTTTCACTTTACGACTTTCACGTTCACGTTGTTTATGCAAATAAGCGGGAAATTCTATTTGAATTTAGTTGAAAGGAATTATGATAACGCGATTGTCAACGGCAGCCTTGATTTTATTTTTATATCGTTCTTTTTCGCGCTTCTGGGGCGGGGACGCTCATACTCTCAAATTGTTGTCATGGTCCCGCTGAGATACAGTTACGATTATGACAGGGCGCCATGTTGAAAAAATACTAATAACAGCTACGACAAGCTACCCCCCTGGCTCAGAGACACCACACCACCCAGACACGTGCTGCGTACAAGCCGCACAACAGTTTGTGTTATTACTGTTGCTTTTTGCCGCTGCTTCTCTCGCTTTTTTACAAAGTGTAAATTGTTTTAATACTTTTTAGTGCTTTATAGCGCCATCTTGCATCGCATAGTGGCGTCAGCTGTGGCAAACGGAGCTGGCAAAACATTTCCACAGTTCCACATCTCTCATACCCAGTCACAGCCCCAGTCCCATTCCATATCAGCCCTTACAACTTTCGACTAACACGTGTACGATGGCGTATCGTGGCGTGGCGCGTTCAAATCTCAACTTTTACGACCTCTGCAACGGCCCCCACTGGGACTGGGCGGATATTATCCTCGTTGTTTTACCAGAGTTACAGTTCTACGTGTGTTTTGCTGTTACTTCTCCTGCTGCGCTGACTTTTACCTGTTGGCCACTGCTGCGGAGTAGAATCCTGCTCGTCCTGCACGTTCCCTGGCAACTCTGGCAGCTGCCAACTACATTCGCTGACATTTCTCCAGTTGTTGGACTGCGTGTCGCACTTTTAATCAAAATTGTTTCATGAATTGTTCAGTTGTTTCAACTGTCAAATAAAGTTTTGACGCCCTCTTCTGCGGGTATTGCTTGGTAAGCCCGCCCGCCGGTTGGTTGGCTGGGGCATCTCGTGGCAATTAAAATACTTTGGCACTCTCTTTGTTTGTCTTGTACGCCATTTACCATTTTCCATTTGCCGTTTGCCGTATCATGTTTAATGTTTTCTGTCGTCCTCTCAATTAGTTGCAACACTTTTGGGCAATTTCGTTCTGTACTCTTTCGGTGGCAAACACAAAGAGCGAACAAATACTCGTATTTGACATGAAATGCGGAAAATTAATTTATTTGTTTTCGACTCTCATTACAGTTGGCAAAACAATTTGTACGTCAGCGCGTTACGAAATGGCAGCGCAGTTGGGAAAGTTCTAAAAGTAAGTTGCCAAGTTGTTTATTCTCTCTTGCTAAATGTTTTAAAAATGTAATTAAATGTAGCAAAATAGTTGAAGTTGTTGCAAACTTTTGCTCAACATTAAAATAATAATATTAATTAAATTCCAATGATACAAAAATCAGATCAATAGATTAAGACGAATAATATTCCTTAAAAACCCTTTTCATTGGCCAGTTTCCTTGCCTACTTTTATTGGTTATTGCCCAATGCCAAACCCAAGACTCTGCCTCTACCTGATTGCCACATTTTCACTTAGCCTAGCAGCATAATGACTGGCTATGTGGCCGCCTGCTAATGTGGCAACAAAACGCCCAAAGGCCACACGCTCCACTCAGTTCCGCTTAAGCCATCAGATTCCACCCTCCTGCGGCTGTCCGCTGTCCACTGTCCGCCGTCCGGTTGCTGCTTGAAATGGGTCAATCACTAAACGGCCTGAAATGTGTCAAATGGCCTGAAGACAAGCAAACAATCAACGTGGCTGGCAACCAGTAGCCGTTGCAGTTGCATCCACAACTCAGAAATCTGCCACTTCGAAGGCTGGCTAATCAATGTGGCCAGAATGGGCTCAAACCACTCGAAATCCACTCACAAGTAGACTCGACTCAGGCAGGCGGCACCTGTGCTACCTGCACTTGCTATACAACAGAGACAGAGAGAGAGAGAGAGAGAGAGAGAGGGGAGTGTCGACTGTGGTGGGTTCGTGGTGAGTTTGACCTGCACCAACCTGGCCAGAGCCGAGCCCGGTTCTTCGCGGCCGTCTTGGCCAGGCCAGCAACTTTCTACGCGCGCCCAAACCCGAAGCGATCTTCAGTTATTTGAGCGGCCTCGAAGCGAGCGGTTCGGAGTCGAGTGTGTTGCTGCGTTTTTATTCACGATACACCTTACACGATAAGGCGAGCGCGATCTGTCCGTGTGGATCGGATCGGAGATCTACGCGATTGATTCTCACCGATTCGCGATTCGCGCACGTAATTGGAGCAAGCGGATTGCCCGTTAATTGCTGGCGACAGTAATTGTCGGTCGCCGCATACCAGTTACGCTTTCTGCTTAAGGTGTTCCCTCGCCCCGTACTGTTAATGTGTCAATTGATTGATTTGCTCCGTGATTGACGCGTGCCTAATTCGAAATGATACCCAAACTATCGAAGAAGCGCTGGTGGAAGATCTGCCTGCCGCAGGGACACCAGGATCAGTCCAAGAACTATCGCGAGATAGTCATGATCAGCGAGTGCGCCTCGGTGCTGGCCACCACCATCTCGAGTGGCAGCACCACCACCACGGCCAGCAGCGGCAGCCCCACCCGCAACCAGAGCTGCGACAGCCTGTCCAAGAGCTCCCAGGCGGATCCGAGCAAGCTCTTCCCGCGGAATATGCCCAGCATTCGAAGGAGTCGCCGCCGCGGTGTGTCCGCAGACAGGGAGAGAGTCGCCAGCAAGGAGAGGGCCGGCAGCAGGGAGAAACCAGATCCCGTTCAGCCCGCACTGCAGCCACAGAAGAGCACTCAGCAGTCCCGCCTCTCCACAGTCACCAAGCTGTCGCCACGGAAGCCGCCCAAGTCCACCTGCTCGAAGAACCGCGCACCCTGCTCCCCCGCCACCAAGTGCGTGGTAAGGTCGGCCGTGCGGACAAAGACCAAGCCGAAGCCAAAGCTCACACTAGCCCCGTATGAGATAGCACTCGAGCTGCCCAATGAGTCGCCGGCACCCAGCCTGGCCATGGCCGTGGCCCTGAGCCACTCGCAGCAGGCGAGCCAGAAGCTGCCCAGTGACGAGCAGTTCCACTCCTCGGGTATCTCCTGCAACGGCGAGACCGACGACGACGTGGAGGTGGCCATGCTGACTGGCAGCCTGAGTGCCACACAGCTGGCCAAGTTGCAGCAGGGAGCGCCCAACCGATCCTTGGCCCTTTCCTTGCCAGTTGGTGATCTGCGCAATCTGAATCTGTGCCGCAACCGCAACGCACTCTGGCTGAACAACAAGGACACGGAACAGCTAATCAAAGCGGACAGAAAGGATACGTTCTGTTATTTCAACAAGGCCATTGCCGACGATATCCAGCTAAGCGATATTGAAGAACAATTGGCCAGGTTTGATGGCCACTCAAAGAGGCCGCCACAGCCTCAGCCACAGCCGCAGCCGCAGCCGCCAGCGACAGCCACAGTCAGAGTCATCGCAGTAGAAGCAGCAACAGCAGCAGCCAAAATGTAAGTTTCTTTTTGGCCTATCTAAATGGCCATAACTCTTGGCGATAAGCGGAGGGGGGAAAACTAATTTGAAATCCATTTGATGAGCTTTAAATTTTTTGGTTTTAAAAGCCATTAAATTGGGGATTAGTTGGAGAGTGGGACCCACTTTATGACCCAATTTAATGACTCCTTAATAGCTTTATATGCGCCGAGTTCTGGCTCCGAATCGAGCCACAGTGCGAGACGTTTGTTTCTAATAACTCCAAGACCATATTTGATGGCTTTTCCAATAAAATAATTTGGGCAAAAGTTACGAGAAAAGTTCACCAGCAGCAGCAGCAGGAAATGACTTGTTGATATTCGCCTAGCACGACTGCAGCGCCTGTAAAGGAGTTTAAGTGGAGTAAGTATTTTTTCTATACAACTCTGGATTGCGTTGGAATAATTAGAGTTGAATTTTTCCATTAGAACTGATTGTTTGAATCGCAAGAATAGATCATTAGACTGGTTCGTTGCTAAGAAGTTCCTCAACCGAACAGCTTCGCCACTGGAGAAACACTTTCCAATCTGAGACTTCCTGTAGGCCATCTCTGAGGGCACTAAAAATACTCGTACAGGTTATAATCTGCAGCAGATCAGTAGACTCTTTGTGGCCGAGCGTCTCAGTTTCAATTGTGTTGAAAGTAAAGATTGTTCAGGTCAGCGACGGAGCGCGATCTTGGAGAAATAATCCCCCATAAGCGGCTCTGTCAGCTGGAGGCGACTGGCGACTCTTTGGACCCGCTAAGAAGGTGTTATTAATGCCCAACTATTTGCAAAACTGACACCGAAAAGTTATTTATCAAGTTGCTGGGCAGCACGTGCTTCTCCAGCCACCCCCTGCTCCTGCTCCTCCTCCTCCTGCTGGCTGCTCCGCCTCCCTGTTGCATCTTTGTCAAGTTTTGTTAACTGGCAAATGAATTGCATGCAGCTAAGTGGCAACAGCAGTTGGCCCTTTTCCTTCGGGGCTTAAACAAAGTTGGCACAACTTCAGGTCCAGTGGCCACCAGCCACCCGTCTCCATCTCCCCAACTCCAGTACACCCATCCCTTCCCTTGTCACATTGTGTTTGCCTCCTGGCCTGGAAGAAGACGCAGGCCTGAAAAGTTTTAGTTCGGGTTCGGGGTCCGCACTCTCATAAATTCCATGTGTCGTCTCCATAAATTGAGTTCTTCTCCTGCTGCATGACTGAGTGCCCTTCATCGATAAGGTACGAGTATTTGGTATCTTGCAGATCTCTTGTATCTTTTAGCGCGCATCGCTGGACGCTGCCTCTCATCTTCATTTGCATCGCGAGGACTTCTGTTCATAAATCTGCGCAAACTGTTAATTAGATTTCCAAAGTTAATCACTTCTTTTTGGTGTTGGCTCTCCGAGTCATAAAAATATTGATGGAAAGTGTGTTGCATAAATTCCTGCCCAGAAACAGGCTTGGTAATCGGAGCCGACTCCAGTTGTGGTCGGTTGTGGTCGGTTGGGCCTCTACTCGCCCTTGCATCCACACGACCCATTAGCAATCAGTTGGGGCTATTAAATTTCCAGTTTAAATAAACCAAAATCAATATTGACTGGCGGCTACTTAAAGCGTAATTAAGCGCATGGCCATGGGCCCCGAGAACACTTTGCATAGGCATCCCGCTCTACAGCCCCAAGTCCCCCCCTTTGGGTCTGGACAATGAAATAAATAAATAGGGTCTGTCGGAGTCGGCGGCCCTCTCTTTGCTTTGTGCCTGTAGCCTGCTCTTGGGGAGAGCGGCTAATTGAAGTTGGCAAAAAGAAGGCCCGGGTGGTCTCCGTTCCACCCATGGCTTATCGGTTTACGATTTGCTTTGATTTCAAAATGAGCTACGCATTTGATTTTAATTGCATTGGATGTGCGCTGTAGTCGCAGATGAAGCGAAAGCGCTCCAGCAGCAGCAGCAGCATCAGCACTGGCCCAAGCTCTTTTGGCCATGATATATGGCATTTTAATTGAAATGGCAAAAAGGCCGACAAACCAGGCGGGTAGGGGTAGGGGTAGAAAGAGAGTTGGGGGGATTAATCCGAGTTTAACTGATTTGCAGACATATCAAGTAACGCCCCTTTAATATTGCTTTGCGTCAGCGGCTCGCTCTCTCTCTCTCTCTGTATCTTTGTCTCGCTCTAAAAGTTTTCTTCTTCTTTGAAATATTTTCTAATTAATTTTTGCACGGGGCGTATGTGCAATTTCTTTAGCTGTCAGCGGATGAAAGCAATCAAAAACTATTCTCACGAAAGCCAGAAATCACCGCCACGAAAAATGTGACACAATCTTTTGACCAAATGTTGTATAACCCACACAAAAGGCACTATAATGACCCAACTCCAGAAGATAGCATTGTCTCAAAGGTGCTGAGCAGCCAGAACTACTCGTAAACTTTTATTGAATCAACACCCAATCGGGAATCCATAAAACGCATTAACGAAACACAAAATTTACAAGTGAATTGGGTTGGGTGGAGGAAGGAGAGGAGAGGAGACAGACAAGTTGATTGATTTTGTCCCAAGTTGGAGGAAATTCAATTTATGTATAATCAAAAAAAAAAAAAACAATGAAAAATAAACTGAAAGACGAAAGAGAAAGAAAAGGCATTGTACGTAGCAAGGAGAAAATGTGTTTATAAAATAAAATCGAAAACCGCAAATAAAATTAGCCTATGGTGAGGAGGGCGACTAAAGGCGGGGGAAGCGGCAAATTGAAGGGCGTTGCTTTGGTAGCTTATTATATTTCCTGTTCCCTCACGGCTTGATTATGATTATCTTCGCTTTGGGCCGGGCTTGATCCCACCAGACATCCATATAGTGTGCGAGTAGAAGCAATTTAGTGGCCATAAGTCAGAGGCGGAGGCAGTGGCAGTGGCAGTGGCAGGGGCAGGGACTGTTCATGTGGCAGAGGTCGTCGGGGCTCGTTGGGAGCGTGTGCAAACCATGTTAAGCGTTCTAGCCACCATCAGGATTCGGCAATGGGCGATAACCAGTTTGGCTCTCTGCCCAGTTTAATTCACGTAATTTATGTTTAATTGAAAATGGAGGAGTGAGCAGCCGAATGTAATTAATTTAATGGCCATCGTTTTGTCCATTAAAACGAGGTGGGCAGGCAGACAGAGAAAAATTTTTTTTTTTGTGTGCTGTCATGCCCCTCACAGACTCCGAGTGTTGCCAAATTGTGGCAACTCCGAGCTGGCCCAGACAATTACCAAAATATGTAATTGCAGAGCTCTTGGGCTCTGCCCACACACCGCATTTTGTTTGTCATTTTGTGCTTGGTCAGAAAACCCCTAAAAATATATTTTAGAAATTGCCATCAATCAGGCGGGCGTCGGAATAAATGAGAATCAAATGTAAATTTAGCAAACTGGCACAAATGTCACTCGGAAGCTTGTGAAAGTGTTGGCTCGCCCGCACAGGTCTCCGTCAAGTTGATAATCGTGATTTTCTTGTAATATTTTAGCCACTCGAGAAGAGTCGAGTCGAGCTGAGATTTCCGCAAATTAATTTACCCCAACCCCAGTCCAGACCAGTCGCAGTCGCAGCATCAGCACGGCACTCTGCAGAGAAAGCCAGACCGAAATGCATTTGGATTTGGTTATTCATGGCCCAATCGCCCGATCGCAATTTAGCTAAGAAAACACGTGTTGCCTCCTGTAGTCCTCCACCTACGGCAGCACTCACAGACCACAGAGCCCAGATCCCAGTTCGGATAGGCCGGCGAGTGAGAGGACGTGAGTGGGGTCAAGTCAAACACAATCGTCAGCATCAATCCCCAAGCCGAACCTAAGCGAACCGAAGCGGAGTCATTCCCATATGTCTCGACGCCTACGCGACTCGAAAGCGTTAATGAGACGCCGCTGGGCCGCATTTCTGGGGCCCTAGCAATTCCACTTGATAAATTGGAGCCCGAGCTGCCACTTGCAACCGCCTCTAACGGTTCTCTTCTGCTCTGTGCAGACGCTCTAACAAGATCCTGTTCACAGTATTGGCGAGTCTCCCATTCAGGCTTCATTAGCAGTTGGCCGCACTACTCTTAAATAGTAAAAGTTGGGGCTCGGTTCTAGCACCGGGAACGGGACTGAGACTGGGACTGGCACTGGATAGTGGCTTTGGCTTCCTGGTTGCACCCAAATGCATTAGTCTAATGCGAGCTGCAGTGCTCTGGGTCTGGTCTCAGAGTCGAGTCTGTCCGGCTGCTGCTGTGTCAAGACACTTGGACACTCGGGCCAAACATTTGATGACTTAATTGCGCATTTTAGCAGATACACATGAATGCAGGCAGCCGCAGGCGAAGCTCTGCACTGAGCAAAATGAGTGCCCATTCCATTTATCTGCCTGCCACTGTCACTCTAGTTTGTAATGGGACAAGTTCGAGACTGCCTCAAATATTGGAGTATTTATTTATCTTTATTTTTCAACATTTGCGTCTTTATTTAATTTGAAGTTAGCTTTGTGTGAGTTTCGCTCAGTGTGGCCTTGTGTCTTGTTGTCTAAGGAGCTTCGGTTCGCCCGTGATGCAACACACAACTTTATTTTGACAGGCGGCGATTAGACGACGGCGAGGATGTTGCCTAGCAGCAGCCTCTTCCCTCATCTCTGTCCCCACTAACTGGCACCCTCTCTGGGTCTTGCCTCTTTTGTTAATTGAAATGTTGTTGTTGCTGCTGCTGTTGCAGATGCAGATGGAGACGCTGCTGCTGCTGCTGTTGCTGCTGATTCCGATGTTTGTTTGTCTCCCCGTCAGATTGCCTGTCCGTCAGATGCTTGTTGCTTTTGTCAGTTGTCATGTTCTGAGCGGGGACCTACACGATTTTGACATTGGCATGGCAATGGCCATTACAGTTACAGTTAGCTCCGTCCCTCTGTCTGTCTGCCTGTCTCCCTGAGTATCTGTGCATTTGTATCTGTATCTGCATCTGTGAAAGTATCTGTGTGTGTGTGTGTTTGCTTGAGTCATGTAGGAAGTCTTG